AGAGGCCCCGCAGAGGTACCCAAGACGCCCCAAGAGGCCTCGGCGAGGCCGAACTCATTGATTTTACAAAAGGCTTTGGTCACATGTTGGCCTCCATGGGGGGGGCCTCAATAAGGACCCCCCCTCCTTTATCGATCTCCTCCACGATGTCACCGAGACGGCCCCCGAGGCTCCCAAGGGTGCCCCAAGACGGTCCCACTAGCAGATGCCCCCAAGATGCCCGCAGGAGGCCCCCACGAGACCCCTAAGACGCCCCAAGAGGCAAGTTCGTTGCTATCATCGTATCAAGACGCACGAAAACTCCGGCAGTCTGGAGATTCTCTTTAGGAATCTCTGGATTCATGGCTTCCATGATCCACATTTGCGCTGCCTTGACGTCATCCCACGATCCAGTCACCTCTCTTATGCAGTGTTGTCTCCCTTTTCTCGCAGTGTCAGGAAACCTGGGATGTCCATAGGGCTAGGCTCCTTGTTATTCCCAAAGGTTCTCCAATTGGGGCCCATTGGGTTGGCAATGCATGGCTGCAGCGCGGGATTGTTGGGACCGTTTGGCCCTCCACCGCCGTCTCCGCCTGGGTCTCCTCCATCGGTCGCCCGGTGGCTTAGGTTTCCCCGTCACGTCGGATTGCATCGCCACAATCATCCCGGTGCTGGGTGCTGTGCTCTGGCCATCCCTCTGATTATTATCGTTGCCTCCCTGTCCGCCCCCGCCCCCACCAGACGCGGCTGTGCCGCTGGTGAAGGGGGGGCGACCAGGTAGGTCGCAGTTGTCGGGGGGCCCTGAGAATTTGGTGTTAAAAAGGACGTTGCCAGGGTTCGACCCTTGAATCTGTTCCTGGAACGAACCTTCATTTAGGTCAAAAGGTTTCTCTACGGCCGGCCCTGGGATGAATCGTGAGCGCGAGAGAAGAAGCCCGGATGCGTGTTGCGCCGCTGGCGGAAGCATTCGGACAAAGTCCGACTCCATCGATCTGAACGACGGCATACCCATTACAGCGGCGAAATTGCGAACAAAATATTCAAACCCAGCGTCATTTTGTAATACACGTTCCTTTGCCTTGTGCAAGATTTCCAGATCTGCTCTGGCAGCGGCTATATCTCGTATGATGGCTGCCAGTTCGGCCTTGTGATCTTCTAGCTCTTGCATCTGCAGCTGGCGCCTTTCGATGGTCTCTCGCGATTTCTCCGAGTGCCTCGGCGCCGTCTCCTTTGCCTCGCTTTTGTTGCGGTGGACGTCTTCAAATATGCTCCACTGCTCTGCCTTTATGACGGGATCGTCTTGTTCCGTGGACTCTTTGCTCTTGGCGCATTCTGTGCGCCTCTTGATACTTCCGTCCAGATGTCCCCCGCGCGTGGATTTCGCGCGCCCCGCGCAAATCCCGGCGACAAATTTTGAACATGCGTGACGCGGCTCCTCTGGCGTGCCCACTCGAGTTCGAGTCGGCTTGGCCACCCTCGAACGGACTGGGCAAACAACAGTCGAACTCAGAGGAAGCTCAGCGCACGTCGGCTGGGCCGGCGTTAAATTGCCCCTCTCCTGTGATCCAGCACCTCCCGGCAAAGCCGTAGGTGCAAGCCTGACCTCTGGCGCAGCTACCGCGCCAGGTTGCCTAGCTGTCTGGATCTGCTCTAGGGGATCTCTCGCAGTCTTGCGTTGCTCCAGGTTCGATTTTAACCTTCTATTCTCTTCGCTCACGGCACGAATGACGAGTGCATCTTTCTTGATCTGCCCATCCGCGCACCCCTTTGGGTGTTTCCAGGCCTCGGCCATCCTTCTTTGGTCATCATGCCTTAGGGCCTGGGCCCTCTGATCCTGCCCCTGAAGTGTTCGCGTCGCTTCTAACTTTATCTTTTCGGCATCGAGCCTGGCAGCATCGCGTTGATTGCGGACCTCCTGGTCTTCTCGTGCTGCCTGCTCTCGGGCCTTTCTCTCCTTCCCGTCTGGCTGCATCGGCTATCATTTGAGATTCAACTCGCTCTTTATCGGCCTGCAGTTGGGACGGTGAAATCATATGTTCGGCCGCTCCCTGAATCCCCCGCTTCTCTTCCTCTTCTTGTGTGATGCGCCGCTGAGCCACGTCCGCAATCCCTGCGATTTCTGCTCCCGCTTGTAGTGTGCGTTTCTGCGCACCTTCTGCAATGGCATCCTTTTCTTTTTCAGCTCTATCTGCCATTGCCCTCTTCTCTGCCTCGGATTCAGCGAGCTTGCGACCGGCTTCCTCGGCGGCCGTCTTATCCGCATGTGCCTGAAGAAGAATCCGTTGAATCTGCGCACTTACTGCCCTCAGCTGCTCTCTATCCTGCTCATGCTTCTCTTCCCGCTCTCGAATGGCGATATGGCGGCAGTTATGTTCCTCGAGCGCAACGCATTCTTCGCAAAGCCACGATGAGCTACATTTCGGACGCACCTTCGAACGCTGTCTACATACAGGTCGGCGGCACGAGCCCCCCCCGGTTTGCGCGCTTTCCCCGGGCAGCGGTTCTCTGCCTGAGGCAGGCCTTTGGGGCCCGCGTTCCAGCAACTGCCCCGGATAGAAAAAAGGCTGGTGGTCTTATCCGACGACGGGCGAGGTGGCTCGAGGGCGTCAAATCCTCTGGGGCTGGAACGTCCAGCTCTTGGAGCTTTTTCCCGACCCCTACTGGAAGTCGGTGCATGCTGCCCCCTCGTTCTCGACCCCTTGTTCCTTAGAATGTCATGTTGTCTCTGCGTTTGCTCATCCCTTTCGTCTTGCATAATGAGCTCACCAAGCTCTGGTGCACTGTCACGGCCAACCCTCGGTGACATGAAGCTTTGTCGATCGAAATCCTTCCACGGCGGTGGAGGATTGAAGCCGTCGGTATCGCTGTAGGTTTTCTTTGTCTTCGGGACTGGAGTCGCGCCGGTCGTTTCTCTAGCGTGCCGAACTGGAAGCGCGGCGTCGGGCGAGAGTTCTCTATCGGCTGAGCCGAGGAACTCTCCCTTCCATGGCCAACTCTCTCGCTTCCGGGGCTTCTTTCTTCCTCGAGATCGCCATCCGGATCAAGGATAGCCTTCCGAAGGTCCTCAGCCGGTGCGTAATCGATTGTCTCGGTGTCCGATAGGTCTACGCCTGAGGCGAGCCCGTCATATGAGTTCTTGAGGCGATTGAGATGCTATGATGGACCAGGCGACGTATGACATTGAGCATATTATAAATTCTTTTCGATCGAATGCGAGCTCTCTTCCTCTGACTGTCCATCGCTCTCGTCTTCGCCCTGTCCATTCATCACGCATTGTGTTAGTTGTTCCTCGTCATGATGCTTTCCACCCGCTGAGCCGGTAGGAATATTTTCTGGCAGGCTCTGCTCTCCATTGGTCGTGTTAACTGATGTCCTCGGGCTTGCGTGCACTGATGCTACTTCAGATGGCCTTCTGACGGAAGCGCTGGCTGAGCCACGCCCTCCGCCTGACGTTTGAACTCATGTCATCATCTGGTTATCTATAGGGGAATCCCCCTCTGTCAAATCAAACGCAGATTCCAATGCCTGCTGTCTGGGAAGATTGAGAGAAAGAGGCCGCCCCTTAGAGGCGCCTTTCTTGATCGTGCGCTCGGGACGGTCTTGTCGTTCTGTTTCCCCGAACTTTCCTTCTTGCGACCCCATGTTCAGCGAACGCAACGGCTGAATCGTCGTTTCGGCTGATAACCAGTTTTTTTACCTGGATGTTGAGAATCCCTGCATTATGTTCCGATGCTGTCTCAAGATCAGGGTGCTCCGCCAATTCTATGGCAAGGAAAGAGTGCTCTGTTAAACTGACAAAAAAATGTCTGAAGTGAAGAAGCTGGCCGGCCGGCCGACGCGCGCGGGTTGGCTCGCTCCTTTTCCGATACTCGCAGCTGCAGTCGGATAAGGTACAGTAAATGATGTCAGTGCAAAGGGGCGAAGGCAACGGCAACAAGATGGTGGTGCGGAGAAGAGTGTATTGACTTGAGCACTTGGGAGCGCGTCCCAAAACGCGCCACCGCGCAAAAAAACTCAGGGTACCCTGACAGCTGCGGCTTCATCACGACCGATGCAGCAAACCTTCAATTCGAACACAAACCAACAAAACCCAGGGTACCCTGGCACAACGTATAACGTTTCTTGGCATGTATTCCCACTATAGCCAACATTCAAGAAGAAACCGACTGTATCCTGCGAGCCGCACGTCGATTAGCGAAACCGGCTGCGGACTGCATCGGTGCACTCGATTGCCAATGTCGAGTGAACCCGAGCAGATGTCCTCAATCGACTTGTCTGGGGTGGCGTTCTGCCAATGCCCGATTGTGGTGTCGGAGGGCGCCGACTGTGCAGACCGGGGGGGGGGGCCATGGGGCGGAGATGCAAATTGGGAGGGCGCCGAACGTGTAGAAAGGCGCCGAGATCCCTCGGCACCTCTCTTGGGCGAGGGCGCGTGGCCCAAGCTCGTGGCCCCAGGAGTCCCAGCTCGTGGCCCCATGGCAGACGATCAATACGCAATGACTCCCCCTGTTAGAACCGAGCGGCGGCGGATATCATTGTTTGAACGGTTTTTTTGTCCAACTCTCGATTCTTTGGAAGGTATCAGCAGGAGGGCCCTGTCTGCACGACCTCGTGCACATCCGGCACAACACGTTGTCATGCAAGGCAAAGCACAGCGGCTAGCAATACTACCTGGCTGCGTCTTGCTACTTTCCCGCAGCTGATACACACATGTGCAACTGTAGCTGATCTCGAAGTCTTCATGACACACACACACACACACGCACACGCGCGCACGCTCATTCACTTCTTGATGACATGTAGCTGAAGATGTCGCAACGCCTCATATGAGGTTGCCATATCGAACATATGAACAGACGCGTTTTTCTGTCTACGCAATCAGTAAGCTGCAGTGTACTCCGAACCCAAATTTCCATTCCATCCGAACGCTTGTCAGCTCCAATCCTCCCCACTTTCTCCCCGTCTCTGACACGGGTGGCCCAATCACACGCTGCCCCCTGGAAGCAAGGAGGGGCGTATGCGAGTCCTGATGTTGCAAGTGGCTCTCCTCGTACCTGTGTGGGGCACCCACACCTCCACTTCCTCCTCCTCCTCATTCTCCTCTTCCTCACCTCCCACCCGCTGTACAAATCGAGACATCCTTATGGATGGCCTTTGATCGTTTCGGGGTTCCAGATCGCGCCGCATGGCCCACGCATCGGCGATGCGGCGCGACGCTACGACCCCATCTGCTCCGGCCCTTCGGTGGCAGCCCA